GTAAAAAGGTAACAGTGAAGACTTCAATACAAAGGTATACACCTGCAAACAAACATTAGTCGTGAAATCCCTAGCAACCAAGTCACTGGATTTTCTCTGTCAGCGCCTGTGTCAGCTGCCAAAGAATAGATTAAAAACGAAGAAGTGCCCACATGCTGGCAGGGGCAGGCCAACTTTTGGCCAGCCAGATACTGCTAGATTGTAATATATAAGGTCGAATTTCGACCTGTGGTACACAGCTGTGCTGTGGCTCAGTCAGCAACCTCAGAACTCTTAACAAACATGCACCTGTTTCACTGTGAATAGTGAATGTAAAGGAAGGAAAGGAAACAAATACAAAGCTTGTTCTATCACAGGTATGAGCTGCTATGATGCATGAAGAACATTCCATGAAGTATGTTTTAAAATCTTGTTATATCTGAGAGGCTTTAAAAGCCGATTTAACTGTTTCAGGGCAACCGCGGTACAGACGTGGTCTCTGTGAGACTTCCACCTGACCCCAGTTTTAAGTGGTACGAATGTTGTGCATTTAATGTTTAAAGGACAGTCTGCAATAATAAAGTAAGTGGCCAACGTGGGTGCCCAGCAGTGCTGAGACCTGGCTGCTATATTGTAAGCTTTGGAAAACACAATTTATGCAACAGATGTCCAGATATGATTCTATTTATGGAAAAAGTTTATATGTGTTTTACAAATGGTTTTACCATCTTATATTAAAATGACCTTTTGACAGGTGTGCGCTGTTTTGTCTCCAGTGAGCACATACCATGCGGATTTTATATGTACATCAGTAGAGTGAATCCACTGGCACAGTGTGTGTATATGCCAGATGTGGTGAGATTTTATCTTATAAATGTGATCAGATTAAAAAAAAAAACTCCTGACAGAAAATGTAAGGAAACCAGCTGAATGTTTGAATTGATGACTGATGTTGTATGGTTTATGTTAAATGTATATTCTTTTAATCAATGAATAAAGCATTAAAAATTGATCGCTGTATAAAATATTTTATTGTATCAGCATGAAGATTTTTAGAATTAAAACGCAACATCGTTCATAAGCTGTGTATAACTGGTAGCTCCCATTGTGTTTAGGTCAACGAAAGAGTCTAAAATCAGTCGTACGGTAACCTTTTCTGATTTGGCTGAATTTTGTCAACGGTTTGGGGGGGGGGTGGAGGAAGGGGAAGGATGCTTTGCTAACGATCAGACTATCAGACCAGTTAGCACAAACAGTGTATCATGATGTGACTGATTAGACTGGTACAGTAAACTGTGGATTGTAGAATATAGAAGACTATTTTTGAGAAATTCCTGCATCCATTGCAATTGCTTAAATCAAAACCTAATGTGCTCAAGAAAAATGTGTAGTACTTCTTTGGTGTCCCACTATTAAATAGATTATGAATACCTGCAATGCTTCAGTTTGACCTTTTATCCGTACTCAAGAGTACGTAGCTGTGCATTCTGAATGAAAACTGCAAATGTCTGGTAAGCTGTCGAAGAGCTGCCGTGCCCTGCGAGGGCTGGCTGTGCCGTGAGAATTGTCGGAGTGGCTGTTCGGTGTGTGCGTGCCAAGCACGGATTTAATTTGAGCTTCTGAACTTCATTTTATGATAGTCCAAACCGCTACCAAGTGTGCGAATTGCACTGCTGCTTGTTTAAGCAGTCTCCTAGATCAAAATCTAGATAGGGTATGCAAGATCATTTGCCACCTTACTGAAGAGATGCTGTGGGTAATAAAGGTAAGGTAGACACAATCACAGCTTTTCACGTTCCAGTAAAGTGAAATAACAGGGCTTGGTTCTCGGTGCCTTTCAGGGCTCGGCCTCGGGAGGGAGGTTTATGTAGCCGTTAAATCTGGTAGTGACTGTTCAGCATCATCTGGACCTTAAATTTGGTCTTAAAGTGATCAAAATTTCTGGCTTTTTTCCGTGCAACTTCCTGAAGAAAATGCTGCATCCTCTGGTTTAAACGGAGTTGCAGGATGTTAATTTTCTCTCTGCAGACTACTGTGTTTCTAGGGATAACTGCCTTACTTAACGCTGTTGGGAAGTAACTTGTTTACCTTTCCCTTACATGAACAAGTTTCTCTTTTTAGTCTAACCTATTTTCTGCTTTGTTTTTAATTAACTTAATCTTGAAAGGTAAGATAAGGAGCAGGAGAAACAGGCCACTTGACTGTGGTGGAGAGATGTGCAGTCCTTTCACTTACTGCAGTTACAGCCACAGCGTTTAAAATAGGCTGCGTCGATGGATGTCCGCTGTTAGCGCTCCAGCTCCCATTTCCCACACAGTCTGAAGTCTAATCACTGGGTGCGGCTCGTGTTCCAGGTGCGGGGTCAATGTACTTATTACATACAGACTACTATAATCTTTCTTTCTTTGCAAGTATAGGGAGTCCAGTAAGGCACGAGTGTGTGGTGAAACCCATACCTTGAGCAGTGTTGGAGAAATGCCGATTGGTCTGTTGTCTTAGAAATAAAGTTGGCTTTGTTGTTTGTATTTTTAGCAATAATCTGAATTAGTGATACCAGGATGAAGGGGATCAAGCGTTAGGAAACTAAGATGGTCCTAATGTGGAAAGTGCGCTTGGATTGGGAGTGGGTCCTTACAAACTCTGGGAAATTGCTTTGAGCTTGCATAATCCCAAATGGGATTTCAAATTTTTTTGTTCGTTTGTTTCTCTTTGTTTTCCCTAAAGAGACAGCCATGTCAGGTTAGTCTTGCTGCATTCTAGATCTAGCAGCAGGAACTTGGAACATAAGCCCTTAACTGTTAAAACTGGATTGCTTTTTCTTTTGGGGGGGAACAGGGACTTCCCTGTGTGAGTGCTTGTGTGACACTTCTTGGTTAAACGTATCTAAATACATCTGTTGGGTTACTGTACCCTGCTTCCTATTGCATAAATCTGAGCTTGTTTTTAAATTGCTTGTCTGCAAATAAAATTTTGGGCTATTACTGGGGGGAAAAAAAAAAGGCTGAAATGATTTCATTCTCTCTGCAGGATGATGTAATCCATGGTTGTCCTGCATTATCTTAGTCCAGCTAACTTTTGTTTTGCCTGCAGTTTCCAGTATCATTGTGGGCATAGAGTAGATTGTTTTGGTGGAGGAAGAAGTGTTTTTTGCAGACAGTTAACTTAGTTACAAGCTAGAACAAATATTTAACCCGCACAGAGAAAACGCTGTGTTTGTTCAGAAAATACAGTGACATTCCTAAGTAGTTTGCAACCCTTAATGTGAGTTGGGGGGGAAAAAAAAAAAGGGTTCTTATGGGGACAGTATTATCAAAGGAAGGACCTCTGTGCTATCCACGGGTTCTATGTACAGGGGCGAGTTGATAGTTGGCAGTTCTGGCTGTTCCTAGGACTGACATCAAGGGCAAGGGTAAAACCCAACAGTTCCTTTTAGAATCCTGGTGAAGTCTTTCAGGCAAACCTGGAGCCTTTAGAAAGCAACCAATTGACTAAAAATGATGCAACAGCTGAATTAAGCTAAATAGCAGTTAAAACAATTTAACACGGATGATGCTGTCAAATTTGTTGTTGAATAGCTCAAGTACAAAGGCTTATCTAAAGGCCTTTGAGGACTGAACTAGAAGTAGAAAGGAGAATAAAGAAATTGCAGGAATGAGCCACGGAAGAGTTCTGTAGCTGAAATAAGCCTACGTGGAAATAATGGTAGGAGCGGGAGTACTGAGCTGCGAAAGGAAAAGCTCCCTTGGCAGACTTGACCTAAGCAATTACAAAAAAAGTGGGCTGGAGATTTTTTTGTAACTTCTAATTATGGGGTGTGGTGGTGGCTGCATTTATATTAAAGGCTGAAACTGTTTTGCGCGCGCGTGCAGAGAATGGGGGGAATGGCAGCTGAACTGCCCCTGCTGCCACTGCAAGTGGGGGCTTGCTAAAAACTTCCCCTCTTTATCTTAAAAGGTCCCTTACCAAATGACTGTGCTGTGAGTAATGACATGGCTTTCAAGTTGAAGCTAAACTGACAGAAGAGCCAACAGCTTCTAGCAGAAGTCTTTAGACTGTACAGTAGTTGGTAAAAACGGAGCTAGGCTCTGTCCAGCTCCAGCACGGCACCGAAATGCCTGCGCCCTGGCTGCGGGTAGGTGCGCTGTGCCTGTTGTGATGGCCGTTACCACCAGGGAAGCAGCAAATGGCAACCCCATTCAAAGAGGTGGATGAGACGACACACCAAATGCTTCTATAGGCACAAAATTATTCATGCTGTAGTTTGCCACTTCTTTCTTGTATTTTTTAATTCTGCTGCTGTAGTTTGCCACTTCTTTCTTGTATTAATTCTGGTTTTTTTGTGAAGCCTAGCAATCACTACAGAATGTGCATGGACACAATTCATGTCTAAAATTGTATGTTTGTTTGGGTTTAAATGTTTGCTGCAGCAGCATGTTCTTGACCACTTTTGTTGCTTTTTTTGCTAAGTGTATTGGATATACTTGCTTCTGTGCTTGTTCTAGACAAGAAAGAAATTCTACCTTGCCTTGCAGTTTTAATTATCTGCACTATGTGTTAGGATGAGCACGCCTACAGAAATCTCCTGCCCCAGCCTATGTGGCCATTTTGTTGATAAATGTGTGCTCTCTGAAGTCAGAGTTGAAGGAATTGGGTTTTTTGTCCCACCCAGCTTCCCGAAGGCCAGTGTTAAAATCCAAAGACTAATAAACTGAATTCATGTTGAGACAGTAGAAAACCCTAACAGTAGTTTGCTGCAGACACCCATCTTCAAAGGCAAGGTTCTGGTGGTGCTGAAACATCCCATAGCTACAACTCCTTCCTCCCATGTCATAAGAAAACCGTGTACACATCTTCAATAAAAAACTACCCCAGACTTGGTTTTGAAGAGTGATGGGAGAGTTGCTTAACAGAGTATGTATGTAGTAGGGAATGACATTAGTTCCTCTTCACTTCTTCTGTTAACAGTGACTACTACTTCACTTCAACTACTTCTGTAGCACCATGTTAACAGTGACACTGCCTTCATTTTCAGTAGACTTTTATTAACTGTTCAATGTGTTTTCACATTCTATTCATAAAGCAGCAAGCATCACTTTTGGCATGCAAAGAGATCCCCTGTACAGCTAAACAAGGACAAAGCAGCTGGACTTTTAAAACATGGTTCACGTGATTTAACTTTATACACCTCTGAAGAGATTACTTAAGTTAGAAATACTTAATTTAAAATGACTAGTGTACAATGGAAATCACTTATTCACAATATTCAGTTATTTTGTTCTTTATTTACAAAATACTATCCTGAGAATTTTCTATTAAGCTTCAATTTGAGCAAAGTAGTTTATATATACCTAAGTAACAATGGTTACTTAACATAAGGAAAAATGCCATTAGAAGAGTACAGAAACGGTTCAGCACGTTGCTCAATGACTCTGTCAAGTCTCTTGCCGTGGTTCTGGTTGTTCTACAGCTGATGGATTTGACTGAGGTGGCTCACCTCTATTTTCAAGAGGTGGTGGTGGTGGTGGAGGCAAAAATCCAGGTCGTTGCGGTGGATAGTGAGGATAAGATCTCATTGGAAATGGATTTCTTACTGTGAGAGAATCGGAGTAGTCCAGTTAATATCAATCGAACAGCAAGCACATACCTGCTCCTCCTACCCCACATACCTTACTGCTCAGCAATGGCCTACCTAAATAGAAGTCAGAAAGCAGACCTAGGTGTTAGGTGTTATGCTCCAAAGAGACAGAGATGCTAGGAAGGGGGAGGACAAAACAATCGCTCTTCTCAGTAGTTACCTGCAACAGGCTCGCAGCAGCAGCCAGTCAGTGTCTGTTAATGGGCAGCTGCTGCTGCCACCGTCACCTCTGGTCTGCTGTAGCAGCCCTTGGCTGTCATACCTTACAGAACTGTTTAGTTCTTCACAGGTTAATCGGAGAACAGCAGGAGGCAGAAAGCAGCCCTTCAGTCTGATACTTACATCTTGCTCCACTAATGCAAGCTCCAAGGAAAAACAATTAACAAGTACGTCCCAAATGCATGCTTTTGTATGGACACTAGCTAAAGGATGAAACTTTAAGATTTATGCATGATGCAGCCTCGTAGGAGGAAGAGGATTAAGGTAAGCATCTACTTGCTTTCCTACCCAAAAAAGAACCCTTTAAATGCTGAACAGTGTGTGTATGTATGTGTATTTTCCAGCCAAAGCTAGTATTTGTAAAAACATTATCAATATGAGCAACTGCGAGGAAGAAAGTGTACAACACAGTTAGCCTTCATCAGAAAAGATGCTCCCGGTTAGCTGAATTGAGAAGTACATGCAAATAAAGATTTCAGTGTGCACCCAGTGTGGTAACTCAGTACCTGCACAAAGCACTCATGTTCATCGACTTGAAGTAAATGCTGGCAAAAGCTACGTACTTGGCAGTGGAGGGCGCGGAAGCCCAAAGTCTCGTACTGGAAAACATTCACGTGGTCCATACATGCCGGCAGGAGGAGGGGGAGGAAAAGGGGGTCCTCGTCTCATGAAAGGTGCTCTAGGATCCACAGGCATCAACGGAGGTCTGACTGGAGGGAAAGGTGGAGGACCAAACCCTGAACTGACAGCTTCACTTTCAGATGCCAGCGACCGATCAGGTAGCGAGTTCTGCAACACAATGAAAACAAGGAAGTTAGCTTAGGGAAAGGGATAAGGAGAGGGAACATCTCCAATCCTATCAGGCCCACTTTGATGTAGACTGTCACACTAGCTAACAGCTAGTTCCAACTCTGCCTTGGCTACGGCATAATCCTGAGCAAGGCTATCTATGTCCACTGACCATCAGCTTGACCATAGTTTCATCTCTGGGTTATAATTAATTTTCAGCAGGGATTATATTAGTCACACATCAAAATTAATTCACAAGACAGTAAGTGCTGTGATACAAGTACACGCACAACTTTATCATTTGCACTGCACAGTGCAATATGTGACTAATGTATCAGAGACAAAGTTTCCTAAATATTTGGCAGAAAATTAAAGCACGTTTAAATCAAGTTTCTGTTTAGCTACTTACGCTAAGATTAGAATGATCTTTCATCCCATTTCCACTTGGTTCTGTTCGTGGGCTATTTTCTGAAGATGTTTGTCCATCTGTATGCAAAAGTTAAACAAGTTATTCAGTGCTGGCCTCCTTCTCCCCACCACCGATTTCAGTGTCTTTTCTGAAATCGGGATACATAGGCAAGAAAAAAAAAAGTATCACTGTACCAAGCAACTGTTCTGCAGGCAGCCTGAAAGACAAACGAGGAAAAACAAAGCTATGGCTGAGTATTTTCTCCAACTTCTGTACAGGGTGCACATGAATTACGAGGTTGCAGCTTTTACCAAAGTTTCTTCTATCAAAATCAGGCTTTTTCTTCCATTTTAGTATTTTTTTTTTAGAAGTTAAAAGTGCATTTTCCTAGTGACACATCTTAACATTACTGCAGCAGTTCCATTTTTCCCCTCCCTCCTGCTAATACGTTACTTCTTTGGTAAGTCCCACTCTGGGAACAACTGCACTACGATATGCTCTTGGCATACAACTCGACAGCAATCCTATTCAAGTTCGACAAAAACCGATTCCTTCCACAGTTGCTAAACATCAAGAAGACTTTCAGAACTACATCAGTTCTGGACAAGCGTTCAGAAATAAGAATAATCATCCTCTTATTTGCTGTACTCACTTTATAAATTAAGAGATAAATAGGATCTTCAGCATTTTTACCTTTATAATTCCCTGAGAACAAGTATTTTCAGTAACAGCTGAGGAAAAATATTCAAGGGAATTGTCAGAGGAGAATGTGACTGGATATAAATATATGAAATATATACACTAAATGTACTCCTTTCTTAAAAAAAACCCAAAACAACCCAAAACACCAACCAAAAAAACCAAAACAACAAACCTGAGATTTGAAAAATACTGCTTTCTTCCACTTCTGCCCGAATGAAGAGAATACTACTAAAAAGCACAAGACCAAAACAATACTTCTAACAAGTGACAGATTGTTCATCTACGTGTTGTATTTGTTCTCCTCTGAAGCAAACAAAGCTATTTTCTCAATGAACAGATAGGTCTTTTCAAAAAAATCTAAGTCACACGACCTTTCAAGCAGGCCCTGCCTTTGTTGAAGATATTGTTACTTAACAATCTGAAGCATTTTAACTGCTTATGTCACACAGAGAATAGTCATGCCTTGATACTTACATTGCATAACACTTCCATTTTAAATCCTTGTAAAAGTTGCTCACAAACTCTGTCAAGCTTCAACCCTTCTTTCTGACAAGAAGTTTCCTGCTCCAGGTATCCGCCTCAAGTTTAACGTTTTTGTAGTTAGCCACCTCAGCTTAGGAAAATCTGTATTATTTCGTTCAGTTTAAATAACATTTTGATCATCTTGCTGAGAAAGTGTAGCTCATTCACTCTTTAGAGTTGGAGCCTGGATTTCAGTACTGTGAGACATGTTGCTGTTCTGAAGTCAGATGGTATGTGCTGGACAGAGTGGAGTGGGTTTTTTTTAATTTGTTGGGGTTTTTTTGCTATTTTTACAAATACCCAAGTCTAGTGAAATTATATGCCTCTAAAAAGCAACATTCACATATGCTTAATAACCTGCTAAATGCTGGCAGCAAGGTTATCCAAAACCCTGTTTCCATTAAGTAGGTTTTGAACTGCCCAAGAACTCAATACAGCTTTTTTTTTTTTATTGTTGCTTGCCAGCAGTTGAAGAAAAGGGTAAAAATGCATACAAGAAATGAGTGCAAAGACGGTGCACTTCTCCTGTCCTTCAGTCAGCATCCAGGTGCTAGAAGACAGACCTCGGTGGAATACAAAGTAGCAGAAAGCAGAAGTGAAACACAGAGAGGCCCGGGAAAGGGGGTAGGAAGGCGAGCGGCTGCACAAGAACAGAATTGTCTTCCAGTAGAGAACAGTTCCCTGTAAAACCTGAACCTTCAACCTGAAACAGAATTCAGCGTTCCCAGTTCTCACATTATGACACCAAGTAACAAAGGTTCTCTCTCCTATTGCCAGAAACTGGGCAACAAAGATGGTAACTTACTACTAATCATATGAGTAACTGAATATCAGGTGGCAAAGTTTCTGTTGTGAGTTTAAGGGCTTCAACCTAGCTGATGACTCAGACACATGTGACTTACTAGGCATTAAATAAGGGTGAAAACTGTTTAATAAGTGTTAAGGCTTTAAGCTCGTAAACTGTTTCAGTGATAAGGTTTAAGTCACCAAAACTTTGCCTCTGAGCTTCTGGCTGTTGCTGAGCATCACAAACTAGAATTTATATAATTGGCCAATTTAAAACAAATGGTACTTGGGTCAGTGAAATATGTGATTAAGTTGGGGGCAACTGCACTGCGAACTACAAAAAGGTGCAAGTATGGTAAACGGTTTGAAGGAGGAGGCCTCAGGACCTTCTAGTTCAGTACGCAAAGCCAGTGGGTATTTGAAAATTTTGCCGTTATTCTTTCAGTCTTACTGACTCCAACTCCTTCTAACCTTACCAAATGTGGCATGGAAATGCAAGTAAAGGTCTGATATTTTAATGCTGTGGTGAGCCTCCTGGGAGGGGCCAAAACAGACTCAAGGCCAAGCCTGAGTGGTTAACACACAGAACAGTGAAGGTGGACAAAGAAAATACCTCATGACTACCATTCACTGAGTCCCATCCACCTGACAGAAGAGACTGCTATTGTTGATAACAGGGAAAGACTGCATCAAGGCTAGCAGGTGTTAAAATGTTTTTACACAGTGGAACATGGGGTCTGTGGTAGCTATGAAGTTGTCCTCTTACCATGGCTTACTACATATAGTCAACCTATACCGAGATTCTCCATTTGATAGTATCATGAAAGCAATTCTCACCTGTCTTATCAAAAGACTGCACATTGTAAGTTCGTAGTTCTGCTGGTCCAGAGAGTCTTCCAGTATTTGGAGGATTAGGAAAAAATCTTTCTTGTCTTCGAGGAGGAAGAACTGGATCAGTGTAAGACTCAACTAACATTGAAGAAATCACAAAACATGTCAGTGAAGATTTACTCCCCCCATTCCATTCCATACAATTTTAGACCAGCAAAATTCTCTGGGTATCTTATGCTCTTCTACATATCCAAAGTGACTATTAATCAGGGTGAGCAAACAACCTTAAAAAAACCCGAACACAGGAATCCCACCAAGTAGGTACTACAGCTTATGTTTCTAAGAAGCTGCAAAAGAGAAAAGCTCATTGATTTTTGGCTTAACATACAGTAGGATTTTGAAAGTTATGATTACCTAAGTTATAAACAGTGGGGCCTTGAAACAAAGGTTCAACATAGCAATGAAGGTCAAAGGCAAAACAAATTACTATACATTTTAAGCCACGCTTAGATAAGAGTGCTGTTTCCCATTACGTTTCATAGTGCTGTAATGTGTTTCCACCAACTTCCTTGCATCAGATCTTGCAATCATGCAGCTACAAGACAAACTGTATCAGTGAGATCGAACTGCAAAGATGGGGTAAGAACGCAGCTCAGGTCAAGGAAACAAGACTACCCCTCTGCAGTACCCTGTCAATAGATCAGATCTGACAAACAAGAAACTGCATCCTGAGTGGACTTTGAGTTTTATAATCAGGCTTTCACACAGATGTGTAGCAACTACAATAGTGCTTGCTGCATCTAATAATTGAGGTACTTTAATCTGTATGCTTTACCTAATTTTTAATTTTTTTTTTAACCTGTAGCATTTTTGCTTCTTTATTGCAGGTATACAGGAAGGTTGTCCTTCCCCCTGCATTGTTTACTTTAGAAATATCAGTAGTATCCTCTTTGATTCATCTCGGTCTTCCCTGACTGATCGTGTGCAATACACGTTTAGTTGAAGAAGTGAGAGTGAAGACTGATTTTGTTGTTGTTAATTATCAAAGAGGCAGTATCAACATGAAAATATGTACCGAACAGGATGACTGTACCATGGTACTCCTGTACTATTAATATAATTTTTATTTTGAAAGACATAGTATTTTGCAACATTAGCTTTTATTTATTTATTTATTTATGGCTAATGTACCATCAAAACTTCTCACTTTCTCAGATCTCTTATCCAGCCCAGACAGGTCTTTTGATGCACTAAACGAGCCCCCAATAAAATGATGAAACTGAACAGCTGATTGTACAGTGCTAGTACCAATATACATTTAAAAGATAGCATAGAAGTGCAAGTGAACTGCACCGTTCAAGAAGGGGAAAAAACCTACTATTAAAAAAAACTTTCCTGTGCAGTTGCACATGCAGTTCCAAGAAAACATTTCATATTTTTAAGCAAAAAATACTTAAATATATACACTACAAGTCAGTAATTCCATTTTTCCATAGATACAGTAGCTAAGCAGATTTTTATACCTGGTGGAGGCAGAATTATCCTGCGTTCTCTGTCCCAAGGAGGAGACAGGGACCCAGTATCTGATGGCGGTCTGTGGGGATCTGTTAATCTATCAGAACTCAGCTCTCCTCTTTCGTTACCAGCTTCATACATGGCAGTTGGTCCTCTGGATCCTAATCGAAGAAATCAGATAGCTATTTACCCAGGTATTTTAAATCCTCTATTATGGCTTTCTTCATTAAGTCTGAAAATAGTAAAATAAATCACGGAATGCCAACACTGTCAAGATACAAGAGGCGCATGGCTCCACAGGACTCTCCAGCTGTTGGCTGATGACCAGTTATGTTTACTAGAACTGTTTAAAAGGTTTGTTTGGAATGAAAAAGTTAGTTTTTTTACTCTTAGTTCAACAAGAGTGCAATCTAGAGTACCTGCAATTAAAAAAAAAGAAAAAAAAAAATCATTTTCAGAGTTTCGGTTCATTCGAACCAGAGAAACTAGTGCCCTCAAGATAAATCTTCTCAGTGCTAAAAAACCTGCTGCTAAACAAACTAAAAATTAGCACACTGAAAGCTAATACCCTCATCATAAGAAAACATCCACATTATATTCAACACTCTTCTGGTTCTTTCTAATTCTTTATTCAAGGAAAAAAAATAAGAGAAGCCCAGGTCAACACATAATGAAGTGCAGGAGAAACTGTAACAATGAGTGATTTTAGGTTGCAAGCTTCCTTTAAAATAGATTTGGTCTGAAAAATGACAGAAATACTGAATTCTGGTATCATTTTCTAATACTCTATCCTAAAATTCAACCTAAAATTTGAAACCATTTAGTGTCTTGTGCAAAGTGAGATGAGCGCTATAATTGCTCTGTACCTGACATTATTTAAATACATCATTTGTTTAATCTGCCCAAGTTACATTAGTGCTCCATTGTGAAATGGGCAGTAGTTATGCCTTTGCATAGTCTCCTTCTTTGTTAATACTGCATCCTGAAATCCAGTTTTTACTCTTCCTCACCAGCAACAGCTGAGCTACAATTTAAAGATACACTGGACATCTCAGTTTCATTACTTACTGTCTCTATACAAATACTCGAGCATGATTTTGCTTGTGTGTGGTTGAACATTCAATCTCAAGCTTTTTTCTGACTTAGAAAATGAATCAACTTTCATATGCACCTGGATATGCTTTTTACAAAGAATTAAAGTTAATATATAGTCCATGCTGGTCTTTTAAAAATCAATGTTGATTAGTGAAGTACTTGTAGAAGAGACATTTAGACATATTTCCCATGAAATAAGTACAGGTTTCAATGAGTGTAACAGTAGTAGTAAATTAAATAGTAGCTTCTTTATTACCTATAACAGATGCTGAACGTCACGCTAGCATTTATCTACACTATTTCCATCAACATCAAAAATATGAAGGAACAGTGTTTTTCCTCCCTTACAACCCATGACACCACGGCTTGCTTTCACCTACTCCTCAATCTCTGCATTTTACTCCTTACACACAGTCTTCCTGTCCCTTTTATCACTAGGGAAGAAACTGTCTCCCACGTATAATGACTGCCTCAAATTTAGAACAAAGGAAAGAAAACAATTTACTGAATCAGTAACTTTCTAGTATCATAACACCCAATAAAACTATCTGATGTTTTTGACAACGCAGGTACCCTCTCCTTCTCTCACCAACTGTAGGTTTACTTTAAAATCGTAAGTTTATTTCAGCAGAACCCCATTTGTCCAAGAAATAAACCAAGACTGATTAAGTTTGGCTTTTCACTTTTCTCAATCTGTGCTTCTAAAGTGAATCCACTGACCAACCCACTAGTACCAACTAAATTTTCCATTGTACTGTTACACATCAGACAGCTTTAGAAGCAAGCTGAAAAACAGGAAGAGTTTGTCCAATTAACTGTTTATATTGAATTGGTTGGTTTAATACTTTTTGTCACCAGCAAGAGGAAAAGGTGTGACAGGTTTATAGTAGAGGGGAGAGAAATCCAGAATAGATACATTTTCAAGTTTAAGAATTGTACCTCTTCCTCCTCCTCCACCTGGAAGCATAGGTGAAAGCCTTAAAGGACCCTCCAATAAAGTTGGAGGGGAAAGAAAAGCTCTTGTTTCAGATGAAGGCCGGCCCATTGGTGAGGGTCCATATGGGGAATGCTCTGGAACAGTTAAAACAAAATACTCAAGTTCACAATATTTAGTTTAGCAAACTGTATAAAGTAATTAACTTCTTAGGTGAAGTTTAAAGCTAAATTGTATAAGTGTAATGAAAACTGTGCTCTAATTACCATGTGTATCATATACCCAGTCTACTCTCATCGATACTACAAACACTCCTAGTTTCAACAAAATACTTGACATGACGTAGAGTCGCTTATGACCCAATTATTTTTTTAAATGACTGTTATTTGTACATACACATGGCCAAGATAGTTTTCAAACGATTACATATGTGTGGTCTTGGGAAACAAAACCAGAGCCTAATTGTTTTTGTTTATATTTTACAATTCAATACTGTACCTCTGCCAAATGGTCTAACTGGAACATCAAGAGCATAAGGATCTTTTTCTAAAAGGTCAAGTTTAAATTCTGTTTCAGTTAATCTGCAAATAAACAACAAGAAAGTAGTAAATAACCAAGTGCAAAAGTTTTACTGGACTGCACTGTTTACTGCTAGGCTTTCTACTTAAAGGGTTAATGAAGCAAGGTATTTTATTCCCTAAATAAAAAGAAAAAAGACAAAGGATGTTACAGAACTCTGAACTTAAGAATTCCTGAAAGTATTTCTCTATGCTGCTGTATTTAACCTGTAATTCAGAAGTTGAACGGGCATGTTAGATGTTACAATTCCTAGCATGACATTACTGTCATGAGTACTCTAAATTGCATTCCAAGTATTAGCTAACTTCACACCTAAAGGTTCCTCACAACCACCACCACCTGATCTGTTAGCTCAGTATTAACTTCTGAGATAAGCTGTAAATTCATTAGGTAACCATGACTTCTGGTTGATAGATACTTATTTAAAACAAACAAACCCCCAAAACCTTTGAGTTCTAATACTACGTTCTGCTTCTTTCCTGAAATATTTCAATACTTTACATAGTTCCTAAATTCTTACTTTCTTGCACGTTATCATTACAGGGAATGCTCAAATGACTCCCTTCCTTTCAGAACTCCAGTGGAACACTGTGTTCTCTCCGCCCTGTTTGGGCCACAATGGATTAACATAGGTCTAGAAAACACCAAATTGCATAAATCCAAAACATACTCACATGCCAAATTGCATTTGTTTAGAATTAGATCAGGACTGCACTTACTTTTGTCTGTTATGTGCATTTTCTTTTTTTATATCATTGAGGTGTCTTTCAGCTGCCCGTGCTGTCAGCTTTGGGGAGGGACAAAAATCAGATGCTTAGATATTGCTATGTATTAATTAAATGCTTCATAAATGTGACAGGTCCTAGATCCAAGATATTTTTTTTCTATCTTAAGTGTGTGGACTGTATTTTCCCAAGATATGACTCGTGTATAAAGCATATGAAACAGAGCCTCACATACATCACCAAACGACATCAGCAGCTCTGCTACCTGAATTTTTGAGGAATGATATGGCTTTCCTGCAGATTCTTAAAACTGCAGAAATGAAATTCTTTGGCTATAGCTGCTTTGAAGCATCTACAGAATATGTACAGTATTTAAAGTCTCAAATTTTATATAAGAAAGTTTTATTTTAAAATCATGTAGTTAAAAACTGTAAAATTATGACCACGAAGCACCACAGCTTTTAACAGGACTCTATCTTATACAGACCGTTGTGTGAAACTGAAGAATGTATTAATCAGGAGATATTTTAAAGTTTCCTGTTTGGAAAAAAAGGTAAAAATGGACTTTGTAGCAACATTCTTTGGAAGCTGTCAGTGGAACATACTGTTCTCACAGGACATAATGTCTTCTATTAGTCGATAAAAGGACTGAAGTACATCCAGAGAAAATATTAAAATGGCATTGAAACAAGGCCAAAAGCTTTTATTATTAGCAAAATGTCACACACTTGTTAAATGGTAACATGTTATTCCAGAAGATTTATTGCTATAGCAAATAATATTGTACTATCATTCTACTGTGCTCATAGGGATCCGCCTTAATTATTCCAACTATTTTGTAAGATAAAAGTATTTTTAACATGCTTTTGTGTATTTCTGCAAGAAATACGTATGTTTAAAGGTGACAGGTTAGAGTTAATTTTGATTATGTTTTTTTAATAAGAAAGCGAAAAGTGATACAGCAAGCTATTCAAATCACTGAAAAGGAAGATGGACAAAGTTCAGAAAATTCAGTATTTGGAACTTACCCAATTATCATGAGCTTTTTTCTCATGCGAAGTAATCTGTGAAAGAGAGATTCATTAGACCATTATTCATCTAAAAAAGAAAACTTAAGATTGAGTATATGCTCTTATTCGTAAGTTTAATGTGTGCGGATAATTTATAATAAGACATCTAAACTTACAATTTAACTTTTTAATAAAGTTATCTGGTGATCTCTGCTATGAAATTGTGCCAGTCAAAACCAGATGGCATTAAGAAGGGGGGCAGCAAAAAACCACCCAACAAAACCAAGCCAAATACAGTATCACAACCTAGCTGAAAGTGGTATTTCAGTTGCAGCAACATCCCTCCTACTTGGCATAGATGGTAAGTAACACAAAGCACATACCTGATTCTGGTAAGAACGAATGGTTCTTTCTAGCTCTTCTTCAAGATCTCTTGCTCGCTGTCTGTAACAAAATTAGGATTTATGACATTGTAATAAAATGTTGAGGAAAGTAATTCTAAATACAGTAAACACAATGGTAAACACAAGGTATAACTGAAATTTTTATCCAAGACAGTATTGTCACTTAGGCCCATGGGATACATAAAAATTATTGTAGCAGTGGAAATTCTAGGCCCTAGATCAGTGCAAACAACATGGTAAACAAAAGAACAGAACCAAAACCCCCAACATCTCCCCAACTTTTCAGTGATCTGCGATATGTTTCCAATATAAAGGATATCCCTCCACCTATGCCCTACCAGCCAGCCTCACCCAGCTCAGCAAATGTACCAACGTGGCTGGAGCGTCATGCTGTCACAGGCTACCACAGTCAGTCCTGAGGGATAGTCACCTGCACTGAAGTTATTTCAAGACCGCAGGAAGTATGATGGCACCTCTGCTGCCAGCTGCCCTGTGCACAGCCTCTAGGTTCTACACTCTCTCAGCAGGTGGGCCAAAGACACATTCATTGTTTAGTTATACTCCACTTGCATTATTAATAGTCTCTTTAAAATTAAGATGTCTACAAAGTTCACGTTCTGAGTAAATCAGGAAGGGTGAATTCTGTCTTCCTGTATGAATACTGAAGAACATCTACAAGAACTTTACATTCTAGAGAAAGAATTAATCTAATTAACTCTTCAGGAAGCATTGTTGATCAGTATCGTTCAATTAGAGTCAATACTCCCATAAACATTGAGTAAGACGGGGAATATACATTACAGATTGAAGAATTATGCCACAGTTTGAGAAACCACAGAAACAAACCAGAGGTACGCAGTTGGTGTAACACAAAACAGAGCAAAGCAGTTAAAAACCAAACTACAGAAAATATTCCCACATCACAGTATTTTAGTAAAGAATTTCTAAACAACAGTACTATATGACAAGCTTAGAGATACAGAAATAGAATACTGTAACTATACAACATAAGTATGTTAGGATCTATAGGAAAACTGAACATTGCATTTATTTCACAGCATTCTCTTAACTTCATATTTTTATCTCTGTTCAGCAAAGGGAACTAGATTAGAGACCCACTTCTACCATTCCATTAAAGCTAACATGTCAATACAATTAGCATTCTAATGGAAGAAAAGTTGCCAGTGATCTTCCATACCCCATTTTTTAACAAAGCAAAAACTCCCTCAGTATGTATTATTACACACAAACTAGCATGTAACATACACACACACACACACACACCACAAAAACTAGGAGAAAATACATTCGCTTATGCTGGTGTTTTTATTAATTCTCTATTGCCTTTTGTTCACTTTGGAACAAGTGATTACAGCAACTAAAATCTGTAATTACCTGTAGCTGTTTAGTTCTTCAGCAGCATGATAAATTTTTTCATCTACTTTAGAAAGCTTTTCTTCCTTCTGTAGGCGTTCTCTCTCTTCTACTGTCAGCTTCCTTTAAGAAAATTCAAAAACTATGGTTAATTCTGTTTCAAGTCAACAATTTTATAGTTGGTCTGTCAAGAAAAACTTTTTTAGGCCTGATGAATACATGATATTTATTCAGATCAACAGTTTTATAGGCAACATATGAAGTGGCATAAATAGCACTAGTTTGTATTTATATTAGTTTATTCAGTTCATTAACTGTTCTATATGAAACATTTAGATTACTACTATTCCTAAAAGGAATTTGCAAGACAATCCATATTCCCAAAGAATATTTGGGG